TTATGAGTTACTTCGATAAATAATCTAGTATGCCGAAGATTACGCGGTGGAATATAGGGGATGAATAAATTAGACAAATCAGAGCATTTAATATTCGAGTTAGTTATGTTATAGGCAAACAAGAGCGAGGAACAAGTTCTTCTCTCATACAAAGCCTGGAGCCCAAGTAATTTACGTCTGCTGGTATATGATGGGAGGCCATCAGGCCAACGAAGCATACGCAAAGCGATTTTAGTAAATATTTTCTGAACTCTCTCAATTTTACATGACTGTACTTCGTAGAATGGGTTCCATATAAATGAGCAGTATTCGAGACGACTTCTTACCAAAGAAATGTAAAGTGATCTCAATGTCATTGGATCTTTAAAGTCTCCGGAATTACGTCTAATAAAACCAATCATTGCAAAAGATTTTGAAACAATAAAGTCAATGTGACTAGCGAAAGAGAGTTTGGAGTCAAATAATATACCCAGATCTTTAATCTCACAAGAACGGTTCAACGATTGAGCATTTATTTTATAGTTGAAAATAGTGGTGCCAACCTTTTTTGAATAGGAAACAACGCGACATTTATTGTATTTAAAAATAAGTTATTGTTATTGCACCATCCGGCAAAGGAATCAAGGTCAGATTGTAAGTTACTGCAGTCAGAAATATTACGTACTGTTAAAAACAGTTTAACATCATCTGCAAACATTAAGCATTTAGCGAATTTAAATTGTTGTGGCAGGTCATTGATAAAGATAAGGAACAATAAAGGACCACAGTGAGTCCCTTGTGGAATTCCTGACCAAGCATCGATAAGCAAAGATGATTTAACGCCTCCAATTGACACAAAAAGTTTCCTATTCGATAGAAAACTGGAGAAAAATTTCAACAGTTTTCCATTGATTCCATACAATTTCAATTTACGTAGCAGAATTGAGTGATCAACTTTGTCAAATGCTTTTGAGAAGTCGGTGTAAATGACGTCGAGTTGCGCCTGAGTCTCAAAAGCATCGACAATTTGATTAGTGACTAAGGCTAAATTGGTGGAAGTAGACCTCCCAGGAAAAAGTCCATGCTGACATTCCACAATAGCATTGCTAATGTGATCGAACAGCTTACGTTGAAGAATGCGATCAAATATCTTTGCCAGGGTGCTTTGTTTAACTATAGGTCTATAGTTGCAAATATCATTACGGTCGCCAGACTTAAATATAGGATTTATTGAACATAGTTTCCACGAATCTAGGAAAGTTCCGCAGTTCAGACATTGTCGAAAGAGAAGTGCCTAAGGATCTGCAACGGTATCGGAACAAATTTTGAAAAATAACGGACAAAGACCGTCACTGTCAGATTTTGCGCTGCTTGTCAACTTTGAAATTGACAGAAGAACATCATCGACGGTAATGTCGAAGAACGAGATTGGTGGTAAAGACGAGTTATGCAATGCAGAAATTGATGAAGTGGTAAACTTTGAGTAGACCTTATGAAATAATTTAGCAAACAAATTACAGGTATCTTACGTATTATTGGACACTTCACCATCATACTCCATGCTTGTCGGGAAACCATTGGTCTTTCTTTTAGAGTTTATAACGGACCAGAAACTAGATGGATTTGATTTCAATTTCGATTCGAGTTTAAGCATGTATTGTTTAAATAGAAACTTATTAAGACAATCGAAATTCTTTTTAAGTCTTACATAGTTAAGTCGATCAACTTCATCAGTACTCATTCTATGTTTTCTAAAAGCTTTATTTTTAATATTCTTTAGGTTACTCAGTTTCGAGTTAAACCAGGGTGGTTTATTGTTTGGAACTATTCGCTTTAGAGGTACGAAACTGCAGATAGCTAACGAAAGTCGTTGTAGCAAAATAGCGTAAGAAGTATCTGGTCCAATAGAGGAGTTCAGGAAAGCCCAATCGGTGGCTAGTAAAAAGTCATTCATCGCTACACTGTCAGCACTAAAATAATTATATTCAACAGCAGATTCAGTAGGTTTTTTATCGAAGCTATAATAATCAAAATGAGCCACCAAGGCATTATGGTGAAGACTATTTTCTAAAATAGGAGACGAACACTCCGAACATGATAGTCGAAGATCAGCTGACCCAAAAATTAGATCAAGGAATCTACCATTGTTATTGGGATAAGAGTTACATTGCTTCAGGCTATACGAAAACAATATGCTTACAACTAGCATATCGATGTCCGTTCTGAGATTAGTTGGTAAAATATTATTCGAATCGCTTAGCCAAGAGACGTTACTTAAATTAAAATCGCCTAAATATATTATCTCATCAGACGGATTAGCATTATTTATTATAGAGGTTAAGTTGTCCATATGCTTTTTGTAGGCAGCGAGGTCGCTGCTGGGTGGAATATAAGACAATAGAAAAACTACTGTTTTATTGCCAGCAAATTTTACTCTAACACAAATTTGTTCCACATCCCCATCATAATAATTAATAGGAATAAGTTTGCTGCATAAATTGGCTCTGACCGCAAGTAGGACACCACCACCCCTCTCGAGACCAGTGGCATTAGGGCAACGATCCTTACGAAATATATGATAATAACTATCAAAAAATTCATTGGAAGAAAAATTTTCGTTCAAGCAAGTCTCAGTTAAAGCTAATATATCATATTCATGTGAAACAACACTACGATGAAATTGAGAGGATTTTGTACGCATACCACTTACATTCTGATAATAAAGCGTATAAGTTCTTCTTAATTCATTAATAGGCTTAGAAGTATATAATAAGTCGTTGACTGTCAGAACCTTAGTCTTTCGGGCTGCTGAAGAAAACGGAAGGGGCGCACCGTCACGTTCCGAATATTCCTTCAAACTTTCAAATGTTAGGTTTTGGCCGACTGGATTGGTTTCCGTTGAAAAAAACGAAATGGGCGTACAGTGACCTTAGCGGGCCAAATCTCAGGCTTGGGAAGTTTACCGAATACATCTTCAGGAACACCCAATTTGAAGTTAACCCTCTTTAAAGTATTGGTTTCGACGTCCTTTTTAACCAGACTGAAGCAGGACATGAGATCTTTACTGATTCCAGAGTGCTTTTCCACATATTGGAGGATGTCACTAGGACTAACAGTTGGCAGAAAAGAAGCTAAATGTAGCCACTTTAGTTGTGCAGCAACAGCAACGTTAAGTTCGGGGGCTCTGCAGCAACCTACAATATAGAAATACTCCAAAGATTCCAATAAAAAACTCTTAGAATGATTGTGAACGCTCCGCTCTATGTCACAAACAACCAAATACACCGTGACCTTAAAATGCCTACTGCTGCTTCCGAAATTAAAAAGCACGCCTTGGCGCACCGACAAAAAATTCATGATCACCCAAATCCTCTTATTTCTACACTCACTTCTCATACAGTGTCATTCCAGCGCCTTAAAAGGAAATCAATATTAGATCTCTAATAACATTGAATACCTGCGAATAGAATATGATTGCGCCACTGGGTGTACTCCAATCATGATTATTTTCTAATTTAGTATTTAAGTTTCAGATATTGCTTAATGTTAAAAAGAAAAAAAACAGATCGCAATAAAAATATATGAGTTCAAAAACAAAAAAATTTTAAACCGAGCTGGGACTGCTGCCTTTTTTAATCTTTTATAGTCCACTTTTTAAACCAGTCAATAGTTTTAAGGAGTTTTTAATATATTCTGGTTTAAATTTTAGTCCAAGCAGCCGAGAAAATGATGGTTTTGCTATGAGTGGTTTAAAATTAAAACCAAAAAGTTCGTAGTTTCAAATATAGGCCCTATTTGTTTAAAAATCAAACCAAAATGTTTNGGGGCTCTGCAGCAACCTACAATATAGAAATACTCCAAAGATTCCAATAAAAAACTCTTAGAATGATTGTGAACGCTCCGCTCTATGTCACAAACAACCAAATACACCGTGACCTTAAAATGCCTACTGCTGCTTCCGAAATTAAAAAGCACGCCTTGGCGCACCGACAAAAAATTCATGATCACCCAAATCCTCTTATTTCTACACTCACTTCTCATACAGTGTCATTCCAGCGCCTTAAAAGGAAATCAATATTAGATCTCTAATAACATTGAATACCTGCGAATAGAATATGGTTGCGCCACTGGGTGTACTCCAATCATGATTATTTTCTAATTTAGTATTTAAGTTTCAGATATTGCTTAATGTTAAAAAGAAAAAAAACAGATCGCAATAAAAATATATGAGTTCAAAAACAAAAAAATTTTAAACCGAGCTGGGACTGCTGCCTTTTTTAATCTTTTATAGTCCACTTTTTAAACCAGTCAATAGTTTTAAGGAGTTTTTAATATATTCTGGTTTAAATTTTAGTCCAAGCAGCCGAGAAAATGATGGTTTTGCTATGAGTGGTTTAAAATTAAAACCAAAAAGTTCGTAGTTTCAAATATAGGCCCTATTTGTTTAAAAATCAAACCAAAATGTTTTAATACTAGTTTCTAGGTTTCATAATAGAAATTGTTTGGGTTTAAAATTTAAACCGAACTGTTTAAATTCTAAACCCAACTCTCTTTTTTCTTAACTTGAAAGGTTTGTATTTGAAACTAAATTTAATTTGGTCATATGTGTAGTCCAAAAAGTTTAAAATTTAAACCGAAATTTTTAACCGTGCAGGTCTCTAGCAATACCAGATTAATTGTTGTCTTTCACGATGTTCTTTAAATAAATTTTGAGCTAAATACTCACCCGAATTTCGGGGGTTACTACCTTTACGATATATAAAAAAATTTAAAAGTGATAATTGAAAGAGTTACAAAAAATTACAAAAATTTTGCTGGCCGAGTCAGGGTACATTCCTTTTTTGAATTCCCTAATTAAGCATTTTTTATAGTTTACATATGGGAACCACAGAAAGAAGCTTCGCGGGCGAATCCTTTAATTAGTCTTCCTAGGATTTTAAAGCATATTATTTTATTTAAACACTTATTTTTTTGTCTAGCGTGTCTGTAATGGAATATGTTTTGCATCTTATTGATTTCAGACACAGTCAGCTTTAATGTTTGATTCTGTTTACACTTTTGCGGCTGCTCTAGTGGAGATGAATCGAAGTCATTTATTAACACCTCATAACATTTCTTGTGCGGCCGAAGATCCCTGGGATAATGGACTATCGCTTTACAACTACATAAGTTCGGTATGTATGTAGTCGGCCGGACATTTTTGATACTAACACCTATTATGAATTTTCATCCGATAGACGATAAACGCCTGCAAGCGTATCGTATAAAATGAGTTTTCGTGCTATGGTTTCCACACGCCCGATAGATGTATTATTGTAAATAACAGTAGTACTTGTTTACTACTTGTTGTGAATTTAAATAAAACAGCTTGTCCAGCTAATTTTTTTTTTGTAAATTTTATTGTGGCTTATTAACATTTTTAAAGCAAACATTTTGTACTTAAAAGTCGCGAAAATTTCCACAAGGCAATAAAAAGCTAAGAGAAAAATGTTTCCTTCAACCATTGCGTTTTATGTAAACTCAAATGAATAAATTGATGAAACAATAAGAGATGCTTCCAATCCTCTGGAGACAGAACTAGGGACACGAATTTCGATACGATACGATACCATATCGATACTTTTGGCATTCGATACCGATATTTTCGACTCGATAGTTTTAAAACGATATTTTTTGAATCGAGTACCAGAACCCTAGTATCGCATCGAATGTCATAAACTCAAATTATAAGGACAATGTTATTAACAATTCTTCCCGATATGAATTGGGCTTTTAAGGGCAGAAATGTGTAATATAGTTAGGATTGCATGTGATGGAATTTGAACCCGCGACCTCGGTGGTTTAAGACAACACCTCAATCTGTACATGTTGTTACACAATATGTTAGTGTTTGACCGAGATTCTCCTCAGATTTGTCAAGTGCGCCTTAAGTTCTGAACACATTAAAAATAAGGAGCTACGGGCCACAGCTTCCAATTTGTTATCTTCATTGTCTAAACGCTTTGTCGATGACGACATGATTTTTTTGAATGCGTCGGCGACATCATGAATTTGTACGAGTTTGACATAAAAGAAGAGGAAGAACCTTATCTGTCGCTGGAAAAATAGAAATAGATCTAATCAGGCCACAACCACAGACGCCGCGTAGCCAGGTCGGCACCAAAATAATTATCTACATAAGAGTACGTGTTAAAATAATTTGACAGCTATGGTCCATAGCTCGTCGTTTTCATTGTGTTCGGGCTATTAATATTGTGGCACAAAAGGGGACCCTACAGTTTTATGTTGACTTTGAACGGTGATTTTGTTTTAATGGGAGGCTGTTTTTCATTTTCAGGTTTTGAGCACTTCTAATCATTACACCACAGCGGCCTATATATCGTGTCCCTAGACAGAACACCTTCTAAATTGGCAGCCTTAGGCAGCGTTTAGAAAAATAACCATCATCAGACCCACTCCGGCTGCGCTGACCACAGTATTTTGGCTCAGGTCCCACTTCGAAATTTACAAAAAAGTGCAAACCGAAGTTATCAATAAACTAGTGCTCGGAAATTCGAAGACTTTACTTTAAATTAAAGTTTGATCCTTATATGTGTATGTTACAGCTTTTAGATTCGGGTCAAGCGTTGGGACACAACAATCCAAAGTCATTGTATCGCATGGACAAAAAAATGGACAACCACTTGCATGCGTATGAAATTGAATAGCTGATACGATAGCTATCGTATCGGATTTCATACGCTTAAATTTAATTCGTAATACGATACAACATAATGCAATCGTTTATCGTGTATCGTATGGGTCAAGAAGTTTTCCACGACAGCCGGTTTTACGTACAATAATGACTCTGATTTTACCTGACCAAGAAGGGCTGTTGTTTCGGGGACCTAACCCCGTTTAGATCGGCAAACCCCACCAATCGTCCATCGTCCATGGAGCAATACCTGGCAGCCGCTTCCTTCTTCTCAGGGCGGGCATTGAGCCCAAACCCGGACCAGAAACATACTTCTGCTACGTTTGCCAGAGACGACTCCATCCGAACTCCACTTCGGTTAGGTTCTGATGGGTTACTTAAGAATCTGCTCATACGTTAGGTCTCACAGGAAGTGGCCCACAGGCGTTGTGGCACCCTGTTGCTCAAGCCTAACGGCAGCCACCCACCAACACGCAGCAAATATGCACGCAAAATTTTTTGATTTCTTTCTTAAATAAAATGCCAAGGGACATAGAAAATTTCCGTGCATTCCTCACGAAATTGGTAAATGAACACAAAGACAAACTGCGAAGAGACCGTAGAGTTTTGTTCTGTAAAAGCTGCGATAGAAGCCTAGACGCATCCAGGACTTCCATGCAACACGGCTTTGGCAGTTTTTTTTATACAACAAGTGCAACTCTTTGTGAACGGTCTTGCGCATTGCAAGCCCAAAAATGTTCTTAAGACTCAAATTCAAAAGTTCGAAATATGTTTAAAAATTTATTGAATTTCTCTTAAGTTTGTATTAAGTTTGAAAATTTGATTTATATTGCTTTGGATAATGTATGAACAAAATTTTTATATAACAATGGAAAAAATTTTTATCTTGAAAAACATTTTGAATATTAAAAAAAATCAACATCTTAACACTTGAAAAGTGGAATTGAAAAGTCCAAGTCAACCGAATAAAAGCTGGGTTATGCAAGACTTAGACTTGGCTTGACTAACCTAGAAACTCAGGCGCGATTACTCAGCGTTTCAGCTATTACCTTTTCCCTTTGTTTTGATTCTCAGCACTTGTATTTGTACATGTAAAATTGTAAACGTTTAATTTGTTTTAGCACCAAAATTTATACAAAATTACCATTAAAATAAATGTATTTATTATTATTATTATTATTGTTGGGGATAGAGCACTGCGACCTTAAGATCTATTGTGCCCCCTTCATGGATTATAGTGTGTCTATTAATCCAGTATCCGAGAGAAATTTTAGTATAGAACTATAAGTCTACGGGTTTCACTTCGCCTTTGGTTATCAGATGTTCACCCACGTGCCTTTTGCGTTTATGTATCAGTGCAGGACATTCTCCTAAGATGTGTTGTGCAGTCTAGTTTTTCATCCTGCAAAATCTGCATCGCTCATGCGAGTAAATTCCCAGTTTAGTCAGGTGATAGTTCAGCCTGCAGTGTCCTGTCAGAATTCCTGTAACAATTCTTAAGTTATTCTTTGATAAGTTCATACATTCCTTGAAGCGTTTTAGGTTATATGTTCCTAAAAGTGCTTTGGACTGCTCTAGACCTGGTAGATTATCCCAGTAGTGATTACTCTGGGCTTCTTCCTCTAGCCGAACTAGTTCAGGAGTGCCCCTTTTCCCAAGCCGCAGAAAGGTTCTGTACCGGTGAAAGGGGTTGATGCACCTTTCTTCGCTAGTTTATCGGCAATCTCGTTTCCTTTAATACCAATATGTCCCGGAATCCAGAGAACCCAAACCCGATTGCTCAGACCAAGAGTATTCAGCTTGTCGAGGCACTCCATCACCAGTTTAGATGTTGCCTGGTGAGATCTGAGGGCTTTGATAGCCGCTTGGCTGTCAGTCAAGATCGCGATGTTCTGATTCCGGTAGTTTCGCTTGATATTAAAGTCCGCGCATCTTCCTATGGCGTATGTTTCAGCCTGGAAAATAGATATATATTTCCCCATGGGTTCCGAGTATCTTAACCTCGGTCCAACTACCCCTATCCCGGTACCCTCGTCGGACAATGAGCCATCAGTGTACCAGGTAATCATGTTTTGGTTTATCCGATATGTCTCGGATATGCCTGCCCAGCTCTTCTTATTACTCAGTTCAGTCTTCAACCTCTTTGTAAAGCTGAACCTCGGATGCATGGTATCCCTCGGTATTGCAATTTCAGGGAACTTATTCGTAAGAATATCTAACTTCGCACGACCAAGATACCCTGCTGCCCCGATATTGGTACCAGTCATCCTTAGTAAAGCTCTTTTTGCCTGAGTCTGTATGTAAATATGAAGAGGGGTAAGATCTAAAAGAACCTCCAAGGATGCGGTTGGACAGGTTATGCATACGCATGCCAGCCTTTGTATCTTGGAGAGCACTTTGATTGCTCCAAGTTGTGAAGTTCTATCGGCCCAAACGATGGCTCCATAAGTTATCATGGGTCGTACTATTGTCGTGTATATCCATCTCAGTATGTCTTTGGTGTGCAGCCCCAACTCTTTCCTGCCATGGACCTACACGTCATAAATTATCTTACAGCTTTATTCGCAGTTTCTTCCACGTGTGCTTTCCAGAGTAGTTTTTGGTCTAGTGTTACTCCTAGAAATTTAACCTCTTTTTGGTACATGATGATGGAACCAACAGCCTTATCGCTTTTGGACTATCATGTTTGTATTTGCTTGAGAATGTTACTATAGTGGTATTTGCTGGATTTACGTTCAGACCCACTTTAGCACACCATTTTTTGGTTACGTTCAGCCCTAGCTGGATTCTATCACACAGGGTGTTTTCTATTTTCCCCCTGCATAATATTACAATGTCGTCGGCATACCCCTGGCAGGTTAGTCCAGTATCTGTTAGCTCTTGGAGCAGTCCGTCGACGATTATATTCCATAGTAGTGGAGATAACACTCCACCCTGTGGATAGCCCCTTGTTGTGCCGGCAACAACTGTATTATTCGTACAGGTCTGTATTTCAACCCTTCTGGTGCGGAGCATGCAATTAATCCAGGCCACGAGGTTATTGTTTACCCCCCTGATAATCAAAACACTGTTTATTGCAGCATGTGAGGTGTTGCCAAACGTGCCCTCGATGTCCAGAAAAGCGCATATAGCAGTCTCCTTATTTTCTAAGGTATCTTGAAGTGCGCATGTCAGCGCATATAGGGCGGTTTTAGTAGAGCGGCCCGCCATATATGCATGCTGGCGCGAATTCAGCGGATAGTTCAATAAGACCGTAGTCCTTTTCTAAAGCTTTTAGTACATATGAGGTCAGGCAGATCGGCCTGAAGGATTTTGGATGAAGTGGGTCTTTCTTTCCAACCTGCGTTATGAAAACAAACTTCGCTCTTCTCCACGCATCTGGTATATAACCCAATGCCATGCTGTTTCTAATTATTTTTACTAGCGGTTCAATCACGCATTCTAAGCCCTGCTGTAGCATGCCAGGGAAAATTCCATCTG